ACAGCCAATTAGAATCCACCTGACTTTAAAGAACAGAACATTATCGTCTGTTGGTGTGGACGCTAATAAGCAGTATATTCACACACACACACACACACACACATTACATATTCTATTGCAAACATTCAAGGTTGAGTTTGTTACTGTGTTTATTTTTAAGAGTGTTCTTGGTATGCAGATATGTTTAAGCAAAATCATCTGTTTTGATTGGCTTGTAAAAGTTATGGTCCCACCCCAGGAGCTGGGACTGCTCGGGGGCAGTCGTGGCCTAAGACTTGTAACCTAAAGGTCGTGGATTCGAGTCTCGGTACCGGCAGGGATTGTAGGTGGGGGAGTGATTGACCAGCGCTCTTTTCCACCCTCGATACCACGACTAAGGTGAGACCCTTGAGCAAGGCACCAAACCCCCAAACTACTCCCCGGGCACCGCAGCAAAAATGGCTGGCCACTGCTCCAGGTGTGTGTTCACGGGGTGTGTGTGTTCACTACTCACTGCTGTGTGTGTGCACTTGGATGGGTTAAATGCAAAGCACAGATTCCTAGTATGGGACACCATACTCGGCTACACGTCACGTCACTTTATGGGCTGGTGTATTCTTATTAGTGGATTAAGATTATTTTAAGGAGAACCGTTGAAGGATTGAGGAGAGGAGGGGATGCAAGTTTGTTTTACTTCTGTGGTTGTTGCAGTCTTTAAATTGCTATTTTGTTATAAAGTGGACATCTGAATTGAGGTACCCTTACACTGTATTGTTTTATTTTGCTTGTTGGAGTCAAGAGGCCAGTTTGTGTTTTAATCGGCCACAACACACCCTAGCAACGACTCAGGCCTGCAACGGTGGGGTTGATAAATGTGTGTGTGTGTGGGCCCACAAATATGTATGTTTAGTCACGATTCATGTCTAAATATTTATTATTGTTAGTGATATTGTCATAGTTGCTCCTACAGCGAATTGTACATAGTCTGAGGGACTCATTTCTGTGCCTATATAAGGGTATAGATTGGTGTGTGTTTTCTTTTTATCTGGGTTAGTAATGTACCGATACTGAGATTTTTATCGATACTGAGAGTTTTATAGATAACTATATTTGAAATTATTCACTCACAGACCATTTTTAAATAAGCAGTTTCCTTTATTGTGGTGTTGTTTCTGATACATGTGATACTGTTACAGACTGTTTATCGTATATTTAGTTACTTTTTCACATACTGTTTATTTATGGGTTTATTTATTGATCTATTTTTTCATCTATGATCTATTTACTGACATTTAATATTTATTGTGGTTTGACTATTTATTTATTTACTTTTGTGATAAAACATTATAGGTTTTTTTTAATACTTGCCCATACTTACCTGGTGTATTTACCTAGACTCACAGTGCCTACCTTAGCTAATTCATACTTACCTGAGTATATCCATATTACCTGTAGGCTTAATCAGTCGAGAGACATATCACCTGAACCCGGTGCTCCATCCTAACAGAACTTGGGAGGTGTAACTCTTAAGTGGGCAGGGGGCACTACATATATAAACTGAACAAAATTATAAACGCAACACTTTTGTTTTTGCCCCCATTTTTCATGAGCTGAACTCAAAGATCTAAGACTTTTTCTATGTACACAAAAGGCCTATTTCTCTCAAATATTGTTCACAAATCTGTCTAAATCTGTGTTAGTGAGCACAATAGTTAATTTTGTTCAGTGTATATATACATTTGTGGGCCCTGGACCACAAAACCAGTCATAAAGGTCAATTTTTCGAAATTGAGATTTATACATCATCTGAAAGCTGAATAAATAAGCTATTTGGCCGAGATACAACTATTTGAAAATCTGCAATCTGAGGGTGCAAAAAATCTAAATATTGAGAAAATTGCCTTTAAAGTTGTCCAAATTTTGCAGAATTAATAAAGAAGATTTCTAACCATGTACATGTTAAGCTGTTGCATTACAGAGGTGCAATATTCCTTTGCTTAATAATGTTACCATTGATGTGAGTCTGAACCAGTTTGTTCACTATATGATAGAGGAATCTACTGAATCTAAAGGTGCTTCACGATGCCATAGAATAACCTTTTTTGTCTAAATGGTTCCATAAAGAACCTTTAACATCTGAAGAACCTTTCTGT